AAGAAAAACCCTCCCCTGATTTTTACCCTGTTATTTACTTATTTATTTTATTTTTTAGCTACTTTTTTTTATCTTACCCGCTTTCTGGAACCGTTCTTTGCTCAAACCTTGTCGTCTTGGCTAACTCCTCTCTGCCTGCTAACATACATGGCGAGCTACTGGTCAAACTGGTAAGTACGAAAAGGAATAGCGTCATACTGCCCTTGTAGCACTCCTTTCAAAGACAAAATGCAGCCATACGTACTTCTGGTACATAATTTGCAATCTCCTGAAATGTATATAAGGCTACATTTTTTAGAATGAGCCTATGTTGTATAAAGTGGGACCACAGACCCAAATAGAAATTCAGTCTTGCTCTCTAAAGATACTCCATTCATCTGTTTTGGAGTCAGTTCACTCCCACTACAGCATTCCAAACACTCCAAGCCATTCGCACAAGCTAATCTTCTCTATAGAAATGTAAGAGACCTGCAAGAAATGCTGTGACTATTAAACATGACAAATCTCTAATCTGAGGCTTGACTTGTATGATGCATCTTGCTTGGAGTATTTAGCTTTAATACTTCAATTTTAAATGTCATTCAGTGTTTGCATGCTCTCTCTCTCTCTCTCTGGGAAAAATGACGCAGTCGGGATGGTTATTGACAACATTTCAGCTGTTATGCAATGCAATGCACTCTGTTATGCAAGTCTAATATTTCTCTGTTTGGGACCATGGCTTCATGTCTGTCACGCTATTTCCAGCAAAAAATAAAAAATATAAATAAATAAATAGAAATGTAAATTCTGCTCGTCTCCATATTTAGCCGTCTCGTAGACATACTCGTGTAGGGTGCGGGCAATCTGATCTAGCGTCTGACGGCTCTATTAAATCATTTAAAAGGCGGCTGTGAAATCCCAAAGATTGATTTTCTTTTAAGCTCAACATGGTTTTCACAAACTCGTTTATTTTTAGACCACTTCGGGTTTATCAAAAAAAGGACAGAACAGGCTTTTTTTTACTCCAAATAAACGGCTTCTCTTTTTTCCCCTGTTCTCTGGCACAGGGGATTGTGTTCCAGCTTTAGAGACTCTTAATCTTGACGTCTTCCTCAAATAAACCGGAAGTAAGCGAGTAGCTAAGTTGGTGTTAAGCCGAACATGAATGCCTCTTGGCAGAAAACACATAACTTTTTTTTTTTTAACAACATTTTTTATTTTAAACCTTGTCATATAGATTAACAAAGGTTTAAATGTTCAGTTTAGCAAAAATAAAGAAAAAATAAACAAGGAACAATATATAAACTTTAAATTAATAACATTTAAAAGAAAAAATAAAAATAAAATAATAATAATAATAATAATAATAATAATAATAATATTAAATAATACAGCAATAACATGGATATAACTCTCTAAAAAGACATAGAATATTTTCCAAATAGGCCAAAATATATTAATTAAAAATAGGTTGTCTTTTCTAAGAAAAGGCAAGACAAGGTTATTCCTTTATCCATTGAGATGCACTATGGCTGTTTCTCAATTCCAAGAACGGCGAGAACAGACTTGCTTTCTTGTGAAACCGTTCTTGTCAGGTCATCTCAGAAGAAACTCGGGAGACCGCGAGAACACAGAATACATCCTGTGAGAATTGAGCAGGGCCGGATTAAGAACACATTGGGTCTTGGGGCTATAGCAAATCCATATATATATATATATATATATATATATATATATATATATATATATATATATCGCTCCATATTATTTCTGTCGTTTTCATAAAAGGGGCAAAGTAAACTTTCATAAAAAGAGTTTGCTTTCTTACTAGTTCAGCTAGACTTATTGTAAAGCATAACCGTGGGTATTTACTTGAAATACATACTTCGCAATAATAGACATTTTGATAACTGCTTGTGTAGGCTATTTGTTTTGTTCGCACACTGTCTTGGTTATATTGTGTGATGTAAGGATTGTACGGGCCACGCGACATGGACTGTAACTGCCGACCGAGGCTGCTTCACTGCTTCAGTTATGAGTCTATTCAATATGATTCTGCCTATCCCAGCTTCTGTAACTGCATGTACAAATTAATTAAGGATGAAGACTGCTTGAATTTTATTTTTTGTTCTACGACAAGCTTTGTTAGCCTACCTTTGACTGGACAGTTCTCGCGGTAGTGCCAAAATGAGGAACTGTCCTGGGAAAAATGGGACATCTGGTCACCCTTATGGGTGACTAAAACAGGGCTATTCATTATTCTGGCACTGGCATCACTGTTTTTGAACAGCAGTAAACCTAAAGGAAAACTTTACATTATCGACGAGAGAAAGCATAACGCAAAGAGGCATTTTCCGCGTCATAGTGTAAATAAATGTTAATCCGGCCCTGGTAATGAAAGGTTGTTATCTTCCTGATGTATTTTTAACAAAAAATTACTTAATCATTACAGCATACCTATGAAGATTTATTGTATTTTTCCCCCTATTTCTATATATAAAACATGTACAAAATCCCTACATATATATATATATATAAGAAGACATGAAGAAATACTCGTTACATAAACGCACTAAATCGCACTTCAGCAGCATTTATTTAAGAGCACAAGAAGGACGTGCAAGAAGTTTTGTGCACGAGTAGAGGAAATCGGCGCGTAAGCAAAGAGATCCACATGCTGTAGGCTATTACATAAATGCGATCTCGACTTCTACTACTGCACTCACGGCATTTGTCATTTGAAATAACGTCACAGGTAGTTCTTGTTTAAAAAAAAGGCCTGTCACCACAGCTGGAAAAAATCCTAGAGGAAACACTGTGTGTGTGTGTGTGTGTGTGTGTGTGTGTGTGTGTGTGTGTGTGTATATATATATATATATATATATATATATATATATATATATATAGCATAATACAATTAAAACAGATTTTAATATGAATTTTAGCAAATAAACACCCTTAATGTGTTTATGCCTTTATAAAGATTTTCATGGTAATGTTTACTTTCACTAAGTCACTTAGGGAAACTCTTGAGATAAATAAGCTATTTCTCCTAACTTGATGCATCCTCAATATCAAGAACACATCCTGAAACTTTTACGCATTTTCTTTTTTTGCGGTCTTGAGTTTTGGAACTGAACTTTGGCGGTTGATAATTACTTTACACAAAATCGCTAAAGAACGCATATTGAGAAACAGCCCAGGACTGTCTTCTTTTACAATTACATGTTTACATAGGTGCATAGGCGCAGTAGGTAGTGCTGTCGCCTCACAACAAGAAGGTCACTGGGTCGCTGGTTCGAACCTTGGCTCAGTTGGCGTTTCTGTGTGGAGTTTGCATGTTCTCCCTGCGTTCGAGTGGGTTTCCTCCTGGTGCTCCGGTTTCCCCCACAGTCCAAAGATATGCGTTACAGGTGAATTGGGTAGGCTAAATTGTTCGTAGTGTATGAGTGTGTTTGTGAATGTGTGTGTGGATGTTTCTCAGAGTTGGGTTGCGGCTGGAAGGGCTTCCGCTGCGTAAAACTTGCTGGATAAGTTAGCGGTTCATTCCACTGTGGCGACCCCGGATTAATAAAGGGACTAAGCCGACAAGAAAATGAATGAATGAATGAATGAATTGGCTTATCAGTGGTTATCAGCTGATAGATATGGGCCAGTAGGGGCCTTCTGTGATGCGGTTCAGAAGGCTGTAATCATCCATCCACATGATTAAACAGCTATAGTAATAGAGAAGACTCCAGATCCAAATCTGTTTTTACATTACTGTGACAGTTGGGTTTTGGGTTTAGGGTTGGGGTAGAGGTAGAGGTATATATATATATATAATTCTCGTGGTTAATCAGCTATACTAATAGAGAAGACTCCAAATCCAGATCTGTTTTTACAATACTGTGATGGTTGGGGTAGGGGTAGACGTTATTAAAATACAATTATTGGGGAACTTAATAAATACTATAAATAATTGCCATTAATTAATTAATGTGTTTAATCATTAATGTGTTATCTACAGCCGATTAGCAATGTGGATGAATGATAAGCCTACTAGAAGGCGCAGAAGGCCCCAACTGGCCCATATCTATCAGCTGATAAGTAGGCCCACAAGGAATCTGCGCGCACAGAATTCCGCAGATTTTCCACAGAATTCCGTAGATTTCTGCAGATTTTTAGACCATTATTAATTCTGTTTATTTACTTGAGTAAATCTGTAAATCTGAATTTATTAAGTTTTTATTCAGTAATTTATTACTTTTTCTGTAATATATTAAGGTTTTAGTTATGATACTCCGCTGGATACTCCCAAAATAATTCCGCAGAAATCCGCAGATTCTTACCCAAATTCTCCACGGAAATAGCAAAAAACGTCCGCAGATTCCGTCTGGCCCTGCTGATAACCATTGATAATGCCCATTCAATCGAATGATAACATTCAAATCAGCTGAAATCAACAGCAATCTTTTATGTTTGGTCACATTAAAGTTCAATGGACAAGTATGCAATATACACAAGCTAGCATCAGGAAGAAAATTACTTTATCAGTTTGACTTACAATATTCAGTATTTTAACCCCAAAACAATTGACTTCAGTTCACTCCCACATGGAACATGCCTAACTAGACTTTACATCTGAATCCACATCCAACAACGCACACATAAAAAAGTGACTTAATTTTGTGAAAACTTGAGAACGTGCTTAAAGCCTGTGTTTCCCAATGTACTCAATATTTGCTCTTATGAATATACATGTACAGGTCACGTTTAACCATATGCAATTTCAACACATTCGAGACGCGACGACATAATTACAGATGATTGCTTGCAGAGAAAAATGTGCAAGAAGAGTTCAAAAGTGGAGCACATTATTTTGACTTAAAAAATGTCCACGCATGGTTCAAATCATTTTCAACAAGCTCCGAGACAAAATGTTCCATAATTTTGGCTGGTTGCAGAAGTCAGAATTGATTGATTGGGTTTGTGTGGGCTTGTGTGTTTGTGTCTTGGGTTTGATTGGTTGTTTTACTCACCCCTTCAGCAGGATAGGCCTCCCAACCAAGGTCTCCCAGAGCAGACATTGTGTCCAGCAATGTAACTAGATGTCGAGAAAGAGCACATGGGGAGAGGGAAAAAAGAAGAAGAAGTAATGATTTGATAAAGTTCACTCAACCTCGTGACATATTGTGAGCAAAACAAGCTGGTTTAGATGAGATTGCATATTTGGCAAGTAAATCACAGAGCAGTTGCAGATAATCAGGTCTTTAGCCTGGGGGACGAGAGTATAACCCTAGGGTTTAAATCATTCCTACAATGCCCTCGTTCATCTAACAACAACACCCAAGGCTGGGAACCAATTAGGAGAGTAATACTGTTTTGTAAATCAGTTATATCAATAAAAACACATTCATGTCTTGCGTGGCATCACCAGCAAAACAAGGTTTGCTCTTGATCATCGTATTGATGGCTTTATTTTAATTTCAGGAGAATATGAATGTTGAGGAGAATGGGTCAACAAACCATCTATGGACTAGCTACTTAATTTATTATGCTAGTTTCTTTAAAATCTCGCACATAGAGTTTTTTTTTTTTTTTTTTTTTGCTATTGTCTACATTTTAGGCGAACTGATCTTGGCATTTACAGATTTTTTTGTCCTCTTTCCTGTTAAGATTGAGGATGTATGTAAAGTAACTAAACATAAATACAAAAAAAAAACTTATGGAACCTGTAGGTCATTAAACCATAACATGTTAACTGTTGATTTATTTGTTTTCTTTAACTTAATGGTATGAACCTCATACCATTTATGGTCATAACATATTTACAAAACAACATAGAATTATATCAAAACTACAGTGCGTGGATGGATGGATGGATGGATGGATGGGAAACAATAGACAGATAGATGGACAAATACATTGATTATAAATACTATGGATGGACCGATGGAGGGGTTAATGTGTACATGGATTGATGGACAGACAAGAAACAATGGACAGATATACGGACAAAAATATATTGGTTAAAACATTATGTTAATACAAACTTTTCCCTTTTATTCTCACAATAAAATAATCTGAAGGTCATTTAATGATAACCTGTTAACTGTTGATTTATTTATTTTATTTAACTTATATTTTAAGCTCAGCTCTGGACATTTGAGGTCATAAAATAAACTTTATAAAACAACATAGACTTAATGTTAAACTACAGTGTGTATATCTATGAAACAATTAAGAGAACACTTGAGATTTTTTGGATTTATATAATTTAGATTTGTAATTTGTATTATGTATGAGAAAACATAAGCTTATGTTTTACAGTAGTTTTGAACTAAAGCATACAGTTTAATAACATTTTGTCTTTTATATATATATATATATATATATATATATATATATATATATATATATATGAGGAACTTTTTCCAAGAAAGACACTCAAATAAATCATGTGCACTGTGTATGCAACCTCTATAAGTCATGTAAAACAATAAATTGCAAACTAAAATAAATGTTATTTGAGTATATGGTTTTAAATTTAATATTTTATGAGGTTAATTAAATTTGCATTTAATTAGGAATTTTTAAGAAAATTTAACACTTTTTGTTGATTTTGCAATCGCGAAATCGCAAAAAAAACAAGGGGGTCTGATCTAATCATTTATATAATTTAAATAATTATATATTTTCATATAACAACAAAAATGTTTCCTGTTTATATTTTTTAAAAATGTAAAAAATGGAGCAAACCTTTAAAGAAAAAAAAAACATTTTACTCAAACTGAAGTCTGATAAATCCAGTAAATCCAAATTATTATGCAAATTAAATATTTTGTACTTCCTATACAATAATAGATATCAAAGTTATTAAGTACAACATTATTACTTAATTTCATTATTGATTTTTTAAAAACGTAATTACATTTATCAAAATTATGTAACCAAAAATTAGTTTTATTTCCTAAATGAAAGAAGTACAACTACAGTCAATACAAGATATCCTGCGTGATAGCATGGCATTAACAACCATGCAAGTCATTGGCATATAAGTGATTTAATAACCCTGTTTACCATTCATGTTCTCAGAAGAAGAAATTATAACACAAATTGCTTTAAGAAAATAATAAGGCATTGAATGAGTGTAGAACCACCGCAATATTTTTTTCCTTTGAGTGTGGAAGGGAGTGGGAAGTGTGTTTGATTTACAGTGACAGTCCAGTGTTGGTGTAAGATTAATGGAGTCATGTTTCATAAATATTTTTCCTCAGGCTGACTGTAATCCTTAAGTGGTGCAAGGGATCTTCTCTACCTCACAAACTGCACACAACATAAAATGTCCAAATAGTGAGGTGACAGAGAGCTGTGAATGTCACTAGCCCATATTACATAGTGATTAGCCTATGATAAAAAAGGTCAATTGCATAAAAATGCTTAACGTAGAACAACAAAACGGCTTTAGTTGAGACCAAAAAGAGGTGGAAAACATTAATTTAGATTTCAGTTAACTAAGTTGTTATACTCTAATATGATTAATATATAAACACAACAAAAATACTGTTTTTAAAAAAGACATTAACATATTACAGCAGCTTATTCATCAATTCTCTCCAAAAGAGTAATCTCTCCTCTCTCCTGTCTCCATCTAAAACCTCTGGATTGATGAAAAGCGCTTTTCCAAAGAGCTCCACGCCTGATGCAACACATTACGCCCCGGTGACGGTGACATTTGTAAATAAATAAACTAGCAGCGAAAGTGTGTCAGAGTGTTTGCTGGAGCCATTTGCTCTCTTTCTCTACAGAAAAGGTCACTCTTTAAAACCACACACGATGGATAAAGGGCCTCTCTGTATAGTCTCTGTTCTGTTCTAACTACTGATTACTGAAGTATTTAATAACACACAGTCTAATGGAGGGTGGAAGCTGCCACAATGCAACCACCGGGTTGATGAGAACCACTAATCTGGGTGTGTTATAGCAGAACAAACAATCGGCAAATAGCAGAGGACGGAGAAAGCTGGCAGCGATGTGGAAAAAGCAGGTGGAGGAGTGTTACTGTATATCGGTTATTCAAAGAGCTGCTGATAAAGCCTGCGGGGGTGTAACAGAAGACTTTATTTAACTGAACACATCACACTTCTGCTCTGAGGAATCACAAACACAACTTTGTGTCTAAAGAGCTTTCCAATAAAACCATTTACATTTCAATTTTGGATGGATGGATGGACAAATAGATAGACGGATGGATGGATGGATGGATGGATGGATGGATAGATAGATAGATAGATAGATAGACAGAAAGACAGACAGAAAGACAGACGGACGGACGGACGGACAGATAGATAGACAGACAGATAGATATATAGATAGATAGATAGACAGACAGACAGACAGACAGACAGATAGATAGATAGATAGATAGATAGATAGATAGATAGATAGATAGATAGATAGATAGATAGATAGATAGATAGATAGATAGATAAATAAATATGATGGATGGATGTTAGCTAGCTTCTGTGGATGAATGGATGGATGGATGGATGGATGGATGGAGGGATGGAATACTGTGAATGGATAGACAGACAGACAGATCTATCTATCTATCTATCTATCTATCTATCTATCTATCTATCTATCTATCTATCTATCTATCCATCCATTCATCTCATTCTTGTCATTATTCTTTTGTTCTGTTGGATCTACACTGGGTTCTGATTGTATCTCTCTGCACTGAAAC